GAGAAATTGATTTAAATTTAATCATTACTATTACCATTTCATTAGATTTCAAAAATAATAATTTAATGATAATTATAAATTTTAAACCAATTTCATAAAAAAATATAAATTTAGAGTGATAATTAATGATTTTTTTAAATGGTAATTTACTTTCACATAATAATTTTGAACCACAATTTACATATTTAACTTAAGAGAAATTAACATTTTTTAATTTTTTTTAAAAAAATTAAATATTGATTAATAAAATAGACAATAAATTTCATTAAGATTTTTCTAACTTGCATCCTTAGAGCACAGATCAAAAGTGTAGTTAATACACGTTTTAGCTATTAATATATGTAGAAAAACAAAAAAACTTGATATTAATTTTAATATTAATGTCAAATGTCTTAATTTAATTAGTTAGTTGTTAAAATTAAAATCAAACTTTATTCTTTTCATATAATTTAATAATAAAAAATGCATTAATTACTTTTTTAATTTATACCCTAAGGCAAAGGTTAAAAAGAACTATTTCATTATATTTTTTTTTGTACATTTGAATGGGTTGTACAAGAAGGAACAATCTTCTTCTTTCTTTAAATTCCTCTCATTTCACTAAATCCTTTCCCCGCTTGACTTAAAATTCAAATTTAAAATCTTTAACTTAAAATCTCAAATTTTTAATCATTAAAACATCTCATTGGAGTTAGAACCATTTCATTATTAGCTAATCTACAATACAACTCCATTTTGTTTAATTGGAGTATAACTTGTGTGGTGCTGATGTCCTTTATCTCAAAATTGGATGGAAATTGGACAGAAGCGACGTTAATACATTTTCTAATGGTAAGAAGGACATGTGTAGTTAATTAATTATAAAGAGAGGACATGAGGTGAATTAAAAGTAGAAGATTTAAATTAAATTCTTTTTGTACAGTAAAGGGAGATAGTTGGCATTAATCCGTGAAATGAATATACAAATAGTCAAAAGATATGGATGATCTTCATACTGACACCGATCACTGAACCATAACCAAGGTTTGGAACCACCAGCACAAGCGAGTCTTCTTGCAGGCAAGGTACGGAATTTAGTTAGAGCACAAGCTGATGTTGTGCGGCAACCTTCATATCGCATATTTAGGGATTAGTTTTGAATTGCATGAAATTGAGGTAATTTATTGTAAATATCAGAAAAAATAACTGACGTATGATTTAATTGTGAAATTATTTGCTTAGTAGCTATTACAAACGTTACCATTTTCTTGCATTTCAGATGACAACATAATTAGTTAGAACTTTTGAGTCAAGATTATGTAAGTGCAAGAGACTATTTGTGCAACAAATATTAATATATAGCTTCAATTCTCTATAAGCATTTTTATTATAAAACTAAGTATGTATGTATCGAAAAAATAAACTAAATATGTAATTTTGCCAGGATATCTAATAAGTACAAAAATAATTAAATTTATTAACATAAAAATGTTTAATAAAACTAAATTCGTATTATATTCATTGAATACTCATATGAACTAAAATATGAGCTAAACCTAAGTTTGCATCTATTAATAAATAAGTTTTGTATAATAGATCATATCTGAGTTTAAATTTTAGGAGTAATACTTATAATATGTTTGGATAAAAATCAATAAAGAATAAAAAAAAATGAAGAAAAAGAAACAGAGAGGAAAAACTTAGTATTAACTTTAATTGCACATATTAAAATAGCAAAA